CTTGAACATTGAAACGATAAATTCAGCTGGGTTCCAGGTGAGTCTCCCGCAAAATCAAATTTGTTTTCAAAAGAGTGCACTTCGCTAATTTCGTGCACTTCGGGTTCAACTAGAACATAAGGTTGACGGAAATTCGGGGGCTGCGCCTACTTGATGAGCCCCAAGAATGGCGAAACGGTCGTATTCTCTCGAAGAAGAAGAATTTTCAGCAACCTTATGAGTAGTATATCACGTCTAAATATGGTTACTCAATGACAACTCTCCCCAAGAAGCATCGTGTATTCATGAATGGTAATGTTCTCAATGTACTGGTTGAACAAGGTTGACTCACAAAGCCAAACTGAACACCTTTTCCGCGTTCAGACAGTGACTGTCTGATTGACTCACCTCTGAGCAGAGCACCCTTTGCTTTACTTGAAGNTCAGCAGGACTGCTCAAAATTCCTTCATTGGGCCTTTTATCCTTGAGCGCTTTCCCTGCAATTTGTTTTTTTCCGTACAAATTAAAATCAGTCTAATTCATTACTTTGGACAACGACTATCTGTAGAATATAATCCATATAACTCAAGAGAACTTTGTGTATGCCCAAATCGCGGGCAGTTCTTAAACAAATTAATGACTTTCACGGTTAATATCATTTTTTTTGTAATTTTAGAGATCAAGAACGGATCTCCAAAACTCGGGGATGCCTCCCATTGATGAAATCAGTCAAGTGTCGGATAGCCACCTCTGGATATGGGATGTTTATACATTCTGAGTGTCTGAATAAACCTATTTGTGTTTTCACGAGAGACTCGAATGAATCTCTCGGCTCATGTTTCAGTTGATACGATATTCGAGACATCGCAATACATGTATATTCGTAATGCAATTTGGTTTCAAGTAGAACATAAGGTTGACGGAAACTCTGGGTGTATTTCTAGAAGATTTCTTTAAATTATAGAACGTCAATTGTTCTTCGTTATCAAAAACGTCAAAATACTGGTCGTTTATCGTAAAAGTTTTGCCTTTTTTGTCATTTGTTTGATCCACGCAAGTGTCTGGTCAGGTCGACTAGCACGATGCTTCTCAAGATAACGCAGATGTTCTTCGAAAATTTCAAATAGTCGAGTGAAGGTAATATATCCTAGGAACTCGATGCGTTTGCACCGAGTAGTGCACGTGGACACATTTCACCGGCCGGTTGTTGATCGGTGAGTCGGACGATTTCATTGCAAACAAATCAGTGAACCTGACCTTAGTAGTTGGTTAGGGTAACGCAACAGCTGATGCACACTATGCTCTGGTTCACAGGGGTGCAGTGACGTCTTCACCTCGACCGGTGATATACCGTTTAAAACCAGTGAGTCTCCGTCACCCACATGTTCAGCTCACAGTCGCTCACTGGATCACGAGACTTGTCTTTTTTTTCATACCCACAAACCGCGTCACATTAAGGTGACTCATCGGACATCGATTGCCTGTACCGTCTAGTGAGCGTATCAACAACTCATGTGCTGACGCACCCACATACACGCAAACGGACCTACATATAGGGAAACCGAACACAGTCAGCACACACAGACTCGCGCGCGCGCTCAGGGAGCAGAAGGTCAACCACTCTCCACAAGTCCGCGGACAAGTATCGAACATGTGTAGCATCCATACTGCGGAGCGAACGCGTTTCCGCCGTCCGGATTTTCAACAAGGTACTCTCACAGACGATAAATTCCTCTTTTGACTTGCTCCCAGTTCGTACTACGTTTATTTTTATACGTGTTGCAATCCACCACTGTCAACCATAGTAAAAACTTTTATTAGTGCATATACCTTCTGCATTGTATTATGGCCACCACCAACAGTGCTAAATTTATGCTGCATGAGGCACAAAAACTTCCCCAGGTAGCACACACCATCGTGCCTAAACGAATAATTCCATCTAACTTGGTAAAACGCAAACAGGGAAGCAGAAATCTTCACTGTTTTGGTGACTGGAAAGTTGATAGGAACAGCACACCTGAAGTAGGCTAGTCTTTCATGTTGTAAATGTGTTCTTGAATAAATTTCCAATCGGGAACACCTTTTCACAGTTTGGTTTTTGGAAAACATGTCTACTGGTTGACAAATGTAAGTAGTTTTATTGACCATACGAGCGTAATTCGCATTCAGTGCAAACACCGTTTGCAGAAATGGTGCGGAGTTGGGACCGTTTCTAGATGTTGACTGACACCTGTGTAACTTTCACTGAGTTTGTTATCTGCCGACGGGTTTCATATATGACTGAGTCCGATCACTAGATAAGACGATTCGTCACAAGAGCGAAAAACCGCCGGTAGGCACTGCTCGCTCAACGGTTACACAGCTATCAAGAATTGTTTGTCCCATCCTTTAGTAGGCCATCACGCCTTATCCGCACGGCAACTGTATGGTATCCCAAGAATAGTGATATTTTCATATCCAGAGCAAATTCTTGCAATGACTTCGGTCAAGCCCAACCAAGAGAAATGCACTGATGCGGCGATGAACTTTACCGGCCATGATTACGACAAAAATTGTTTGAAACAAGAGTAAATCTGAGTCACTTGCTCAAGGAGTTTCCTGCTAAAGTGTAAATTTGGTTTTCGGAGACCAGAAAGTACATCTCATTCTGTTCTAGAAAATGTTCTTGTTGTCGTTGGGTTATCTCCTTGATCGGAATGCTTTCTATTGGGCCATTCTCCAAGCACTGGGCACACTGAGAATTGATAATGCCATATGCCTCAGGTACGTCTGAATAAGTATACGTTGAGTTCACAAATCACGTAGTTAAACAAAAAACACCGGCGTTTTTGGTCATGTCCGATGGACAACTGAATTCCACATGTTCGTCCTCTGTCTAGAGATTTTTCGATTTTCCCGTGACTGGGGTGGAGGAGTGAAATCTGCTAAATGATCACAATCGACCAAAACCCTCAACAAGACGCCGGTTTCAAAGTTTGTGTGTGGACTAAAATCAACCACGGAAAGCTGTTTGTCAGGGTTAACTTTGGCTAATCGGAATGATAATGACGGATGGTGCCACAGAATCATTAAGTACGGGACTGGGATTTTGGACGCGTTCACTGTCCACTGTTTGAATGCTTTTTCCCGAGGGTTGATTGCAAGAAATAGCCCCCCCCTGCAAATCTGATTAGGCGTCACTTAGCTCCGACATCCAGACCCAGTAAGGAATAGATTGTCACAACAGCCATCCCATACAGAGCAGGAAGATAAGAGATTATCCGAAGACTGAACTGAGCCAACAGTCCGGTAGCCTTTCAGAAGAGAAAAACGTCACGCTTAGTTTTGGTTCAATTGAAATATTCCTTCCCGGTTGAGAGGGCGATGGACTGTGTGTATAAAATTAGATGCAACGATTGCACCAAGATCTACACAATACTAATTGCCAGGGAAACGCAGATCAAAACTGGCGAGCAGAAAAGGAGGATCAACAAACCACCAAGGAATGCGTAAGAATACCAAGCGTTGGTCAACGACTCAGTGATGGCGGTACATGCCTTAGACACGAAACACAGAATAGATTTGCAGACTGTGGATGCCTCAAGACCAGAACAGCGATTCCCACCAGAGCTGTTGATAGCCAACATGGGTGGAACTCGCGAAATCATCACAGCATTAATAGAATCGGGGGTGTGTGTTATATCAGCTGATTTGCCAATCTGAGGTATCTGATGCTGACCCGCTCCAGTGCCCAATGCCGGAGAAAAAAGACAGAACGGAACACAACAGCCATATTCCGAATGCGAGAGCATGAATGCGTGCGAGTGCGAATGTACAACGCTCTCAAGCTGTTTATTGGTTGGACACTGTCTGAACGCGGTCCAATACTGACGCACACGGTCTGGCTTTTGGTACGGGGCTGTGACGTGCTGTATATTGCGGGGGCGTTGTCTGACCTTGATCAACGCTGACTCGTGCTGTCTGGGTTTGATACAAGGCTGTGACGCGCTGCATTTTGAGGGGGTGTTGTCTGTCTGGTCAACATTTAGCGGAGCTGTGAGTCTCGGTAGATTTCGGGCATCCAGTGGCTGGTTTCAGGAAGCTGACCTTCCTGATAGTGTGGAGCTGGTGAGCGCATGGGGAGCGGGCTTGGATAGACCGAGTTTACAGGTGATTGTGTACGGTTGTCAGTAGCAAAGAAAAAGAGCGGAAATCCCAACTCGACCAAAGCATCAAAGACTCTCCCTCCCTTACACAACTATCGTTAGTACAAACTCACTCACACAAATGGACAAAAAGTGCGAACAATATTCAAGGGGAGTCTCCATGTGAACCGAAATAGACCGTAATCCATGTCTCCCCATCAGTCCTAATACTTGGTGACCTACGTTAACACAAAATCCCTCGGCCAACACCCAACACAGATTTAGCTTGACTTAGCTGATTGGTTCTCCCTCCTCCCTAAATCTCGACCAACCTCTTAGTCTGGTCACTTGGCCTGCCGAAACTTTTGTGTCAAAAGCGAAACTCTACCCAGCAATAAATCTACCGATTGTTCCGAAACTTTTCCGAAAAAGGAGAAGAGTTATCTTTTTCATTAGGAAGAAGTGGTCTGGAAAAAGTTTAGAGGCTGTGTTTATGAAGTTTACAGTGGGTAGCCGTATGACGTGGCCTTGCAATAATGCCGCCAAAACCTAACGTTTTTCACACCCGCGAGTGTTATTCTGTATGGAAGGGTTAGTATCCATTGCGAATCAATAAGGAACATCAGTGTGTATGAAGTTATAGGCGCTCTATTGGCATAACTTTGTGGAATTCTAAGATTTCCTCCCAACATAGCTACTTGGTTTGAGGCGTCCGTACACCCTCAACCGTTATCGGGATGTCTGAAATGTAGGTCAACAGCTGATTGGCTCACACAGGACATACATAAACTTAGAATCGGCTACACTTCCGGGTTCGAGAGTGAAGACATCTAGGATATTTTCATCCCGCGTGTAACCTTGACAAGCTGTTTCTTATTGGCTGAATTGTGGGTTGGCAAGTGGTTGGATCGATTGGCAACGCCTGTACACGACTGGACAGGAAACTTTAAACTGCAGGTTTGTATTCACTCGGACATGGCTTCGCTGTCATTCGTGTGTGAGACTTATTATTCACAAATGTAATCAACTGATAGGTAAGTTTCTCCCCAACCTTATCGCCATCTATTTCGTTGTCGAATACGCATTGATTTCAGGCCAGTTGAGTGGAAAAACTATACATTGAAATGCTCCATCTGGTAGCTTTTCAACACCACAGTTATGTCGTTAGCCTACTTTTAAAGGCACCATACAATTAGTTGGAATTCCATTGGATGTGATTTGGCCATACTGACCAACTTACGACACAGACAGCTTTGTGTAACAATCAGCATTCATCAAGACCCCTAATGTGTAGTGAATAAACGGGTATATGATTGCAAAACCATCACCACACTGCTGGAAATCACCGTTAGGATATACAGGTCTTCCTGATAGGGACTTTCTTCTTCGGTGAAGGGAATAGCACGGAAACCGTACAGTTTACCGCGTTTAGTCATTCAAGCACAACTGAATTTCGTGTGTATCACTACTATTTCTCTGATAAATATGGGAATTTCAGTCCATCACTTCCGAATATTTCATTCACCTCTAGCTTAAGTGATTGTTGACTCTGATGAGCCCGCATAACCCTGGACACGCTTACTGTCTGGACCAGCAGGAGTGAACAAGATCTAAGTAGGAGCAACAAAGTGGGGATCAACAATGATGAACATACACTCATTTGCAAATCAATTTGGCTTTCACGAGAGACTCAACTGAATCTCTCGTTTATGATGTTCTGCAACTGAAAGTGCTGCACACAGGCCGCCTCATGTTTCAGTTGGCACGATATGCGAGATATCGCAGTA